AGGTTTTCCCCGGCGACTTCATGGCGGTTCAGGTAACCGCAGCTGTTCGTCGACTCATCGTCCTCGAAGAGGAAGGGAGGGGGATCGTGTTGCTTCTTTTGTCGCCTCATCGAGCTCCAGACTCTCGCTCGATTGCATCATCCACTGTTCTAGCTGGAAGAAGAAGGGAAGGGGAGCGTCGTAGCAGGTTCAGGTTTCATCGCCACCCTAACCTTCCTCTTTTGGTCTGTTTTCCCTGCTTCGATAGGTGTGCTCCCTCCTTTTTCGACTGAACCCGATAAAGCCTCTTTTGCCCTCGTGTTGGGTAACCATCCGGTTGAGTCAACTGTTGTCTTCTCGTCGAGTTATAAGGAATGTCGTGATGGTACAAATGACTGACCCTTTGTTAAGAAGGTGAGTAGGAAGGGTGAGAAAACAACTCTCTTTTTCTCTGATTTAGAAATTTCTACTTTGGTTGAGAAAAATGCAAGTTTGCTCTTATTAGAAAATTCCAGTTGAGACACCCCTTAATGAAAATTATCTGAAAGAGTTTTGAAGTTTTCAAACTAGTAGGAAAGTGGAAAGTGAGACATCTTGATGGGAGGCATGTGTTGTTACAATTACCACAAGACAGGAGTTGCTGTCTGGTTAAATTGCCCCTGGGGGGGACTACTTCTTCACCTGTGGAGGAGCCTTTAAGGCCTGCTCCTTTTGTCCTTGAGGGGGATTGCTCACTTATTATATCTCCTGTGGAACCTCAATTGGTGGTGGATGAGGAGACATTGCCCCAACTTCAAGTTCAAAATTCTACCCTAGGTGGCTTTCCACTGCAACTCTATCACCTGATTAGATCAAACAAGTTTTTAATGTTAATTAGGCACAAGGGAATCTTGTTGTGCAACAACCTACACCTGTCTGACAATTTTTGGACCAATACACTGATCAAATGAGCCAGCCTTCGGATGAAGATTGACATGTTTATGCATTTAGGAAGAAGTAGAATGATAAATGCCTTCTAGAACTCAGAAACTTAATGGATGATATTTTGGTTGTTTCGAGTAATGACAGAAAACTTAACTATTTGTTAGCAAACTCTCTACCTAGAACCAGAGGTAAGAGGTAAGGATACATTGGATCGTACTAAAGCTCCTATTATCTATTTGGATCTGGAAATTTCACAGGTGCTTTTATGGGTCTTTTCTTGGTAGATAAATTACTTTAGCTTTCCGTTCTCCCTTTCTTCCAGTTTTTGGTGCAACAAGCATATCTTTCATTTGTTTTGGTTCTGCGCCAACATCTTTTGGCCAGCCTACACACAGAACTGGGGGGGGGGGGGGGGCCAAAGGCACACGCCTTGGAAATTTTGGGGGGGAGACTTGTGAATTTTGCGTAGGAAGAAGGCTTCCTATTAGAGTTTTGAAGATCTCAACAAATATATTTTCCATTTGTTTGGATTTTATAGCTCTCACCGATCCAACTACTGCTTTCAAACGATTTGTGAATTTTGCTCTGTTTGGAGACTTTGGCGTAGAGATTACATGCCTAGTTTATACATGCCTAGTTTATAATTAGTTTATAATTACGGTTTTGGGTATACATGTACTTTTTTGGAGATTTTGGTGTGTGTTGTATACCGGGTGCTTTGGGTTTCTACTTCGGCCCTCTCATCCAGCCTTTTTTGTACCTATCTTTTCTAATATATTAGCCTTTGGGCTCACACACACACACACACACACACACATAATAAATCTTATCAAAACACATGCAGCAATATTTTTTTTCCACATTGTGATACTAGAGTCAACCCAAATCACAATAGGGAAAACAAATATTATTACTCAAAAAATAAATATTGGTTACAATTAGAGATATTGAAATAGAAAATAACAACTGATACGACCCAAACACTCAACGAGAGTGGATCCCAGGTGATAGTTGTGGTCGGGGAGCATCGGTGAGCATCAGGAAGGTGGTGCATGGGCGGAAAAGACGGTTGACAAGCAGAAAACAACAAGACGACTGTTTCCCTAGGGTCGGAAAACAAGTAGACAGACGGAGGACGATGCGTGAGGGCTATCCGGGTTGATGGCAACAAGGGAAAAGGGTGGAAATGACAGTGGCTGCAACGAAGATAAGGCTGGATGCTGGCCGGCAACTGTCCAACTCGGTGGGAGAAGCTGCGAGGAAGGTTGGGAGGAGGTGACAGTCGGTGAGGAGGGCTGTGTGTTCATGTGGGAGGATTGCAACAAGGTTGGCGGCGGGTTGGAGGTGTAGGAGGGAGAATGGAGGGCCAAAACAACGATAAGGGATAGGGTGGGCTGCAAACAACCAAAGGAAGGCGGTCCTAGGAAGTTGCTGCAAGGAAAAGGACTGGATAGTGAGGAGACTGCAGAAAAACATGTGAACTGTTGTTGGGGCGACCAACGACGGGTAATGCGAGTCTGTAAGACGGGCTGGATGCGGAGGGGATAGGAGAAGATAATTACCTTCTCGAGAGAGAGTTACAACCGGAGTGCTACTCAATCCTTCGAATATATCCCTCAAAGAGAGAAAAGGATGCCGACGGCTATCCTAAACAAAACATACGAAAAACACTGACTTTCAAATCCTATTACAACACATATATAGGAAATGATTGAAAATAAATGAAGGATAATTGGAAAGAAAGCCTAAGAAAGGAAAACGAGATTATTTCGGCGCGTCTCTCACTATAGTTATTCTACAGTAAAGTGGCAGCTACAGTACCGCTGTAATTTATTGCATTAAGCTTCCGCGTCACATTGTGAAAACTAATGACGTTAACTTGTGTGGTATATTGAACATACAATTTACCTAAAGCATCAATATATTTATTATCAAATGTGAAAAAATGTTTAAGAGCAAATCACTATTCTTGCGGAAATTCTACTCAATTGGCCTATTGATGTACTAATTTATTTAGGAATCCATATATTTTAAAGCTTGAACTTATTTCATATGCACATATATTTGCATA